GTAGAGCTAAGGGCCCTTTGTGAAACGGTCCCAGGTGTTTACAAAGTGTGAGCTGTCCGATTATGAGTCGTCGCCCGACCGTGTTTATCGAGTGCTTCCTACCACCTGCCTGTCTGCCTGCCCCAGAATCCGTTATTTACAGGCCACTGTGATAAAACATGAATTGACATGTAAAACACTCACTCACTCACTCACTCACTCACTCACTCACTCACTCACTCACTCACTCACATATATCTTGTTTGTTGCATTACGCCACAGTCAACAACAGTCCAGCTTCATTTCAGTACAGTTAAAAGCGTTGACAGGAAAATACAGACGTTGATATTATGAAGAACGACCTACGCTGTCGGGGAACGATGACATACAACCTGCAGTCTCCCAGCCTGTCCACTCGATCCAATTAGACGCCACCTACAACAAACAGAGGTTGCCGGTCGGAGATCTAGCCCGAAATTCCTGCTGACAAATCTAGAAACATAATGGGGGCGAACCGGGATTCGAACCTACAATCACAGGTTTCTGGCGTGCCCCAGGGACGCAACTCTGAACAGCGAATCGCGGCGCCTTAAACGAATGGGCGAATCGCGGCGCCTCAGACGACTGGGCCACCCGTGCCAACTATTCGACATTGTCTTGGTCCAGTAACACGCAATAAACGGAGCCACCGAGCCGAAACATCTAAAGCGTCGGAAGCAACAATACTCCTGTACGTACGTAATTGAAGCAGTAGTAAGATCCCAAAATGGTTTTAGAATAATCTATAATAAACTAGACATATACTCCTGATATAACCACATGAAATGAGTAAATGAACCAGTATGGAAAGTGAGTGAGTGAGTGAGTTGGGTTTAACGCCGCTTTTAACATTATGCCAGTCATATAAGTGTGGTATCCAAACAGTATTGCCAAAAAATACATGGACGCAAAGGCAGCAACTTATTCAGCATATGCACAAAAGTCCATATTTCTTAAATGTCACTTTGTAAATGATATTTTCACTGAAAGCAAACAATGGAAGAGCAATACATACAAAGAAATATGTAACAAGGATATCCGGTTCCGAAAAGCATAACGTTTCAGTTCGTGTTAAACACCAAATAGGTGTACCACATCAAGCGTGTAATATCGTAACGTGTCATACATAACAGTCTATTTTTAATCCTTCACCACTTGGGATACAAATATTTCAGTTGGCGAGGGCCCACTGACGTGTGACCGTCCCACGGTGTCTAAAGCTGAAGTGTGAGGTAACGACACACGACGTGTAAGTATCGAAATGCCTTTGTGCGCTGACAATTGCCCCGTCAAAAACTACCTGCTGCCGTCTGCTGTTCTGAATGACCTTGGGATAGTTGATATGAGTCATACACACAGGGTGTGTTTTCAGTGTAGAGTTACGTTACCTGTAGATTTAACAGAAGAGTGAAGGAAACCGGAACGGGTTTTACTCCTGTCTATAACAGATTTGATGTGGCCAAAGTCAGCGTAAGTCGCTGAGGTTGAACTAATGAATCAAATGGATTTTAATCAGTAGAAATACTGACTATGACACGCCATGTGTAACTGTCCAATCACTGAAACTCACCATCGGCACTTCACAAGGATACCCTTGCACAATTTGATATTCATTGCATTGACCTCCTCAGCGTGAAATTAATCAATGGAGGACTTCGACAGAAGAACGACTTACGGATCTTCAATATGTTCTAGATTGGTAAGTTAAATAGTGTCTTCCACATCCATATTAGATAATAATAAAAGAAGGCATTGTACTGCGAACAGGATTGTTGACTGCCTATCGTAGGATTAAGTAAGGATAAGATATATGGATGAACAACTTCTGTATTACAGTTAGGAGCGACAATTTGGTGAAGGTGTAGGTTCTATAAACTGCAGCCTTGCCCTTTATTGCGTTGATAACAGTGTGTTGATTATACACCATGGAGCAATTAGGAGCAACGTTTCGGTGTAGGTTCTAACACCGTTATCAAGCAAGTGATGGATGAACAACTTCTTTATTACAACTAGGAGCAACGTTTCGGTGTAGGTTCTAACACCGTTATCATGCAAGTGATGGATGAACAACTTCTTTATTACAACTAGGAGCGACGTTTCGGTGTAGGTGTGGGTTCTATAAACTGCAGCCTTGCGTATTATTGCGTTGATAATATTGTGTTGATTACACACCATGCGTGGGCCAAATTTGAGGACAGGGGTTTTGTTGCCTGACGCCGCGCAGCAGCACTCATGCATTGCGAAGAAGGCTTGCACTCACACAAGCGATGGACCAGATAATCAAGTGACACCATAGCGCAATTTCACATTTTGTTGAACCTCAAAAGCATATGTTAAAATTGAATTACGTCTGCTTTGTACAGAGATTCTGCTGCTGATACGTTTAAGAAGTATGTTCGATTTGCGAGGTGAGAGAGGAGTTGGGGGAGGCAATGTCTCGCCACATTATTCTTTTGTGGCTTACACAGCACATTTGATAAATATAGAATACTACAATGGGGAGAGTTTAGTATTTTATTTGTTATTTGCCGTTTAAAACTTTCTTTCGAATTTCAATGTCGTGTGTGAATATAGGTAGACATCTACGCGACCCACAGCATAATACAAAACAATAGTTCAAAGACGTCACAAGAACCTTTTATTTATTTTTAATCAGCATTTATCAGGAATATAATTAATTTAGTATTTTTGCCTTGTCTTTTAACATTTCATCTAACTTAAAAATAAATATATGCTTTGGTTCAGTCTGTTGTTAAATGTCGTCTAGCTGCTAAATGAGACAAAATGGAGTCATTATTTTGTCTTTACGGTGATTTAGATATAGAATGGCTACCTTTCAATACTAATAACGTAAGTAAAGAAAATGAATTCTGTAAAATTACTGAGGTGAACGAAATTGATTTTTTGAGCGATAAAAACTTTGATGCCTTGTTTTCGGAAATGCAAGCACCAATGAAAACAATGTCGTACCCTGCTCAGATGTGGCCGCTGACACAGATCAAAGCGACTGCTCCTGATCAATGCCAAACTAAAACCTGATTCACTATAGTATCGGGAAAAAAATCTAAGATTTAAAAAAACCCATAAAACATAAAAGGTAAGGAAACAAACTTAAATTTTTAAAAACCATAAAAACAAAACAAAAAAGCTTGCCTACCTGTTTTACCGATTGGTCATCGGAGACGAGAAAATATCTGTAGACGGAATTACTATTCCGGTTTCTGATTTAGCCGACCTTCTCCGTGCATTCTAGGCCGAGAAGCTGCGGCACATGAGGAATTACGAGTGAGTGAGTATGGTTTTATGCCGCTTTAGGAAAAGTCCAGCAATATCACGGCGGGCGACACCAGGAATGGGCTTCACACATTGTACCCTTGTCGGGAATCGAACCAGGGTCTTCGGCGTGACGAGCGAACGCCTTAACCACTAGGCTATCCGACCGCCCCTCAAGAGGAATGATGGGGCACATAATGATATTGTTTGTAAATTTGTTCAGAGAATGAAATTATGTTGACATATTTCTAGATTATGAGTGGGGAAACGTATGTGACCGAGAGCCGGCAAATTCCGACAAAATAACATTAAGGACTTCAAATTTAAGCAAACATTGTTACGATATTATTCAGCGAGACCAGTAAACTACAAAGTATGCAATTATAAGAATTGAACGTCAGTTTGGATGGGTTCGTTGAAGTGTAAACGATTTAAAGGCGCTTGTTAAACTTTCGTGTGAACCTCCGAGCTTGCGACGTCAGCCTAGCAACAGGGTTGTTGGGGTCATCGAGTGTGCATAAGCTCCCTTATACCCAATCTCTATCATCTCCAGCTGCAATGTCGTTGGGATGTTCAGAGTTTTCAATATTTGTTCGTGAAACGTGTTCCCGCAGTACATTAACACGCGCTTTGGTATTAAACAATGTGTAATGGTATTAAACAATGTGTAATACATGGTACAGCTGGATGTTTATTAAATGTTAATTAAATGTGTGATCTCTTCACGGGCAAGTAATAAATACTACTGAGCGTTTGATGAAACTCAGAGTTGTAGCTTCGTACTTCACAAACACAGTTGGTGTTTAACGCCGCACTCAGAAATATCCAAACTGTATGGCGGCGGTCTGTAAGTAATCGAGTCTGGACCAGACAATCCAGGGATTGACATCATGAGCATCGACCCACGCAATTGGGATACGATAACATGCATCAACCAAGTCACCGAACCTGACCACCCGATTCCATTAGACGCATCTTACGACAAGCATAGTCGCCTTTTACGGAAAGCATGTGTTGCAGAAGACCTATTTTAACCCGGATCGTCATGGGTAGATAGAGTTAGTCGTCAATGTGATTGTTCACAATCGTTGGATTACAGCTGAAGGGAGGCAACTCATATGTCTCCTTACCTCATGAAATGAACACAATTCTATAATCGTCATAGAATATTTTACTTCTTTATGCTATATGTTACAAGATACTATATAAACGTTTGATGATGAAAACGAACACTTTATCATCACTGTATGATAGTGATCCATATACACATCCTCATGGTATTGTTAGAAATGTACAGTGGAGTCAGTTCAGAAGATGTTTTTCACTTTTATATTCATTTGCTGTCAGAAGTGGTATTATGAACGTTTTTGGGGGTAGCCTGATTATCAGTGATCCATTCAGATACATTTCATCCCAATGTTGCCTTTTGTGCCCAATGGAGTCTATGTCGTGGGATATCCAAGACTGGTTATGCCCTGGCGTTGACGTAATATCATTAGTTGACAACCTTGACTCGTCAAACCAACGCACAGTCTCGACTCTCCACAGAGGTACAATGCATAAAACCCCTTTCTGGTGACCCCTGGCGTGATATTTGTGGAACAGTGCTAAAATCAGGGTTAGATCTGACTCACATAGTCGCACACTAGTATCAAAGTATGTATACAATTATTATATGATCAATAAAATATTCAAATACTCTGTTGCAGGAATGTTGCAGGTGTTGTCGTGGATGGATTATACACGTGTGGCAGTTCCTGTTCCATTTGGCGTCATTTGGCTACACTGTGCTGGGTCTCGTATTGTGGTATACTGGGCCTGAGCTCCCGTACAATACAGGAGCGTACCTAACAACATGGTCCTACATTATGGTTCTGATCCATTTCTTCATCTCATCCATCATCAGCTCCGTGAACCTGGTCGAGAGTCTCAGGACAAACAACTCACAGTCGAGACGTCAGACAATGATACCTCTTTCATCATTTTCGAGTCCAGCTTACATTCCTGATGGTGAAAATGTCACATCATACCAAGTGGAAAGAACACCCAAAACTGACGGCGCAAATACTGTTACAAGGTGCCACTTTGGACTTCTCTACCTTTCGCAAATATTTTCAAGTGTCGTCTTTGTATTTGCGCCAATCGTGACCGCGGTATATTTTGCCGGAATTTGTTCCAGCGACGTTCACTGCACATCATTCCACAACATCAACGTACACGCTGTGAATACGTTATTTGTCCTTGTTGATTTCCTCATTACCATACGTGGAAAACGTTGGTTTTGCGTCATTTGGCCTGTCCTTTATTTCATGATCTATATAATCTTCAACTTGGTCCACTGGTATATCAATAACAGTGTTATATACTCAGGCTTTCTTGAATGGAAGTACTTTGGACGAACCTGTGGATATGTTGCCGTGGTTTTCTTGATTGTGGTATTTTTACACATTTTGCATTCACACCTAGTATCCTTTCAGGTTTATTGTCTGAGAAAATACAGGGCAAGGCAGAGTGGACCAGTTTAGGGTGATGAGACATCCATTTAACCACATCGCAACATACAAACCTCAAATTAAATGGTCTCGACATATGTGTGATAAGCGTCAAATTCGGAGCATGGCCATCTAACATATTGAGCAAAGCAAATTGTGACTTATGAACTCAGCAGGTATCGCTAAACGACACTGTGAATATGTATCTGCATTTGGGAGCATGTTTATTCAAGGTATCAAAATTGGTAATTTGATCGTTTTGATCTGAAGTTTCTACGTTGATATTTTATAGTTACTAAAACAGAAGAGGTCTAAACCTTAATGAGTAACATTGCAACATGCATAGTATGGTCGCAGCATCATGTCTGGAATACATAAAAAGCGACAAAATCCTTTCCATCATCATAAGAAATCCATACTACCATCCCGACTATATCGTGCGCATGTGTGCCTGAATCACTGTTGGGCGGTCGTGTAGCCTAGTGGTTAAATCGTTCGCCACTCGCGCCGAGGACCCGGGTTCGATTCCGACATGGGTACAATGTGTGAAGCCCATTTCTGGTGTCACCCGCCTTGATATTGCTGGAGTATTGCTTAAAACGGCGTCACTCACTGAATCACTGTTAAATATTATTTTTTATTTTTATTTTTTAAAAAGAGCAAGAAGATGAACATATCCTGCCCCACCTGTGGCGCCCACCACTTTGACTTTAACGTTGCCTAGACGGGTGGTAGGATGGGCCCGACCCTATTAATTGTCTTGTATTGTATTTCCACAAAATCATATATCTAAGTAATCTTTTCACTTCAGGTGTTGGTCATGTTTGCTAATAAAACACCACTTGAATTTGGAAAATGTTTTTTGTTTAATTTGCCTTGATGCTACCATTTGGAAATCCACTGGTGTGGACCATTGTCTTCATCATACAACACAAACGAGCATTAATTTGAGATGAGTGTTTGCCCTCTGATGAGCACAATACCTACAACAGATCTTCATATAGTTGGAGTGGATTTTTGGTGGTATCTTCACGTGTATTTATGGCTTCAGTGGCGGTAAATAGAGCATAAAAACCTAGGCAATTTGCTACTCCTCTTGCCACAAAATATCCCATGAATACTGAAGTTTCATATTGTAACATTGACGTGGAAGAATATATTCCAAATCCACTTCGATTTTTCAAGTGTGCCCAGTCTTGCAAGAATCACACAACCTGCCACCGATGTGTTGAAGCTGCTGCCCACGAGGGTACTGATTGCCTGTTATATGCTCAGAAAGCTGTGGCTCATTGGCCAAACTGGTGGATTGATTAATTTTTAGTTATTCTGCTTGAATATACCATCCCCGTATGCTTGGTGCTACCAGTTGGAAATCCACTGGAATTGACCGTTGTCTTCATGATACCTCACAAACGAGCATTTGATGAGTGTTTGCCCTCTGATGAGGACAATACCTACAACAGATCTTGAGATAGCTGGAGCCGATTTTTGGGGGTATCTTCACGTGATGGTGAACTGCTTAAATAAAATCAATTTGCAACATCAAAAGCAATTTATGGCATCGGTGGTGATGTGTAAAAAAGAGTCTACTCTTCTTGACACAAAATACCTCGTGAATACTGAAGTTTCAGTTTCACTGCACAAGTCCCAGAACAGTGATAGAGAACAGGCACCAGCAGAGAAGGGACCATTCGCTCTCTGATGTGAGACAAAGTCAATGTGTAACGGATGTCAAACATCTTTGAGAAATGGAGAACCTGTGAAAACAAATCCCTACTTACTTTCTTTTTCAGAGAGGGGCGGTCGGGTAGCCTAGTGGTTAAAGCGTTCGCTCGTCCAGGATTCGATTCCCGACATGGGTACATTGTGTGACGCCCATTCCTGGTGTCCCCCGCCGTGATATTCCTGGAATATTGCTAAAAGTGGCGTAAAATCATACTCACTCACTCTCTTTCACAGTCTGATCACACAAAATCCACCAAAACAGGATATTGTAACATTTACGTGGAAGAATATCTTCCAAATCCACTTCGACTTTTCAAGTGTGCCCAGTCTTGCAGGATCTCTACCAATAGCAGGTATGTCATACTCTTCAGTTATTTCCCACCCTCATCATCAGTATCTCAGACTGATCAACCAAGAACATCATCTCCTGATCGAGTATCAAAGGGTTTACGTGACCAATGCATCTTTTTAATACACTCAAGTTCATTAAAGACGTGTCTCCCCTCATCTTCATTGCGGGGATCAGAAGCAAGTCGCTACAGGCGGGGAAAAGTAGATCCCCAGTACTTCCACCTCCAATAACATGAATAATAATAACTCCCTAATTCAGTGGAATTGCAGAGGTCTAAGGACCAATTTTAATGGAATCCATTATTGGTAGAGGGTTGTAAACCATCAGCAATCTGTCTTCAAGAGACATACATCTTTCTCAAGCAGACAAATACATTTCCGTCAGTACAGTTTATATCATTTGATTTCTGCTCTCGGTACTAATGCTACTGGACGACCCTCCATCCTAGTGAAACAGCATGTGTCCCTTGTTACCAATCGTCAAGCTGTTGCAGTACGACTTACTTTGCACATGTGTCACAGAATCACTGAATAACTTACATATTTTCAACGATGGTTTCAACACATATTTACATGCTGCTACTGGGGCGTGTTGTGCTTTAGATCTGTCGCCAATAATCAATCAGACGTTCCACTTTCATCACGGTGGAATTTAAAAAGGCTAACTAGTCTTTATTTCAAAACTTCCATGCTGACAAAGTTCAAACCTGACATTTTCAGGAATGTCCCTGGCCCTATTAAGTTATTCTCATAGCAACTGAATGAAACTGATACTGAAACGATACAGAAGTCCCCTGCAAACCCACACATTTGAAAACCACATTTCGATAGTACTGACAAACAAGCTTAAAAAAGGCTGACAAATATTTCCTCGGAATCCCTTTATACATAATTTGACAATGTTATTATTAGAAATGCTAAAGCACGGCATAAGTTTAAACAAATAAAACGTGAGTCAATAAAAAAATAAGCATCAAGATTGATTCTGAACACATATTTCAAAGGTGTGGAATATGATTCAAAAGATTCTAAAAGGTTCTAAATCTAGCATTCACCTCCAGGTGACCGTGTACTAACAAACAAATCTGATATCGCAAACAAGTTCGGCGAAACACTTACCAAACATTCTTAATCACCACATCAGAAATGAGTATCAGAAATACAGAAACAAGAGGAAAAGAAAATAGTAAGTTTACTACGAATAATTCACTCCATAAGATGCACACTGCCTTCGACCAAGCTCCTGATACTGTGACAGGTTATGATAATATCACTATCAGCTCCTTAAGTTTTGGCCTCAGTCATGTCTTGAGACACTCTTAGAAACATTTGGTCAGATTTAGACTTCTGGGAATTTTCCTTCATCATAGCATGATGTCATTGTAGTCCCCATACCTAGGCCTGGACGGGATCATAGCAATTCATCAAATTAGAGACTAATATCCTTGACTAGCTGTTTTTGTAAAACCATGGAACGGGTTGTAAATAATCGATTTATACGATAATTGGAAACCAACAACCTCATTACACATATCCAAAGTGGTTTCGTAAAAACAGAAGTACCACTGATCATTTAGTACGTTTAGAATCGTATGTAAAAATAACCATTGTTAACAAACAGCGTGTTTTCTCTATATTTTCCGATCTCCCAAAAAGCGTTCGATATCACACTGAAGCATGGTATTTAAAAGATTTCACATGATTATTGATTAGGTCGTTTAGGTCTGTTTGTATCCATGTTTTAACATGCAGGCAATTACAAGTTGTCATGTTTGATCGTTGTTTAACAGCACTCAGAGCATGATTCATTTCTGGGGCAAGCTGAAGACGACATTTGATAAAAAGATCCAGATCAATATTATAAGTACTATTTCATACATAAATATGCTAAACTGTATGGGACATTTTGTTTTGAGGTGAAACTACAGGAAAATACACTGGCAATGAAAGTAAGCGATTTCCGAAGAAAGCAAGCTCCCAAACACAACATTGTGACAAGGCATTAAGCACGTGACCTTGGACACCACATGCAAAGGATGGTATGCTAGATTTACCATTGTCACTCACACATACCGTCGATAATCGACGCCGCTCTGGACGCCCAAGGGCAACAACCCCAGCCCAGGACAGATTAGGCTAATCTCATGATTTCTGAGGAATCGGTGGCGACTCTCGACGTCAATGATCAAAGGAATCGAGTTTGAAGAAGTCCGAATTCGCGTATTATGGACGTTAACTTTGTACAGCATGGGCGTTTTGGGGGTGGTTCCATAATGGTATGGGGTAGTATCACAATGACTGGCCGAACTGCGCTCCATATTGTCCATGGCAGAGCCACAGGTCAATAATATCAAGCAAGCATTACTGCACAACATGAGGGGCAACCTTTCATCTTTCAAGCGAATTCCAGTCCTGACCTTTACCTTGGCAAATTTCGAATTTCACCCCCGACCACTTTAAGGACCTACTGCTCCACCGTCTCATCACACCAACCATTATAACCAATTAGATCTGATCGCCCTCTCCACAGCAGATATGATTATACGCAATCCAAATTTCGAATTTGACCCCCGACCTCTTTAACGACCCAGTACGCCAGCATCTCATCACACCAACCATCCCAACCCATTGGACTTGATCCCCTACTCCTACTCATTTCCATTTTCCAATACCATAATGATGAGAAGAAATGTCTTGATGATTCCCTACAGAAAGATTGGGCATTATTTCTAGTCCTAAGAATACTCCCATTGACTTACAGGCAGCACAAGTGGTCAAATGAATTCTTTCATTTGAAAAAAAGAGCGATTGGGTAGCCCAGTGGTTAAAGCGTTCGCGCATCAGGCCCGAAAGGGGTACAATGTGTGAAGGCCATTTCTGGTTTACCCCGCCATGATATTACTGGACCATTGCTAAGAGCAGCGTAAAACCCTACTCAATCAATCAATCAATTAATTTGAAAACAAACAAACACAACAGACCATTGGTTGCTTCATTCATAGACACTTGGATTGTATTTCGGTGTTGTTTATCTTGTCCTGTGGATACACAGTTCGAGGTATCATCAAAGCCGGTTCATTAATAATAATGGGTGCACGGACAAGCGCTGTGAGGAGTAACCTCCCTTTTGCTGTCAGGAAACTATGGAAATGGGTTCGAATTCCAGATTCGCCCTGATTAAAAACGCTTGTTCGTCAGCTGTAGGTAGAGGTCATGTCGGGTTTTCCTGCCACATTAAGCAGAGACGCAGTGATAGTACAGTTTCAAGCGGAGTCACACCCAACTCAAAATTGTGAAAAAGAGTGTTTGACTTCTTCTTTCAGCCTGTCGCTAAGCATCCAAAGCTCCCAAAATCCCATGTTCGATTATGTTTTATGATATATACTCACCGACAAAAAACGCGAATTCCATACATGTTCGTGAATATATGAAGAATTACTCTTAGTCAAGAGTTATTAGACTGATTCGATGAACAAACTAACATACTGGTATGTTGTTTAAACCGACGCTCATGAACGCATCACAGATCGCATGACGTCATATATTTATGACTCGAGGTGCACCATTTGTCTCGTGCAGGATTAGCGTGATATGAATAATGACACTCTGTGGTAAGATTTGACTAAGTGTTAGTTTTGTCATTAAGCTATACACATTGGAAACATCTCTCCGTAACGTACATATGTTTCTATGGTTCGCGTTCTTTTGGAGGTGAGTATACAGGGACAACAACCAGTTGAGCTAAACAGACAAAATTAAGTGAAATCCTTTTTTATTGCA